ACCACAATTTGTTAACTCATTCATGGGTTGATGGGCATTTGGGTTGCTTTCACGACTTGGCAATTATGAATTGAGCTGTAATAAATAGCAAACATTGTATTCTGGTGCAAACATCTTTGTGGTAAAATGATTTTTGTTCTTTGGGGTAGATGCCTAGAAATGGGATTGTGGGATCAAATGGCAGGTTCTTTAATCATTATCCATACTTCTTTCCATAAAGATCGTATTAGTTTGCAATCCACCAGCACTGTAGAAGTGTTCCTTTCTCTCCACATTCACATCAGCATCTGCAGTTTTGGGACTTTGTGATGTGGGCTAATCTTTGTGGAGGTAGATGATATCTCCAAAAGGTTTTGATTTGGATTTTTCTGATGATAAGAGATGATGAACATTTTTTCATGTGTTTGTTGGCCATTCATCTGTCATCTTCACAGAAGTTTCTGTTCAAGTCTCTTGCCCACATAGAAATGGGGCTCAGTGTCTGCAACTCAAGCAGCTAGGGCACCAGCCACACACACCAGAGCTGGCAGGTTTGAATCCAGCCTGGGCCCAACAAAAAACAATGACAACTATAGCCAAAAAGTGGCCGGTATTGTGGCGGGTGCCTGTAGTCCCAGCTACTTGGGAGACTGAGGCACGAGGATTGCTTAAGCCCAGGAGTTGGAGGTTGCTGTGAGCTATGACACCACAGCACTCTACCCAGGGTGACAGCTTGAGATTATGTCTCAAAAAAAAAAAAAAAAAAAGAAAAAAGAAAAGAAATGTGGTTGTTTGCTCTTTTCTGATTAATTTGAGTTCTCTGTAGATTCTCGTTATTGGACCTTTGTTAGATTCATAATATGCAAAGATCTTCTCCCATTCCAAAGGCTGTCTGTTTGCTTTGGTTGTAGTACCCTTAGTTATGCAGAAGCCTTTTAGCTTCATCACGTACCAGCTATTTATTTTTGGTGTTGCTGCAATTGCCAGGGGGGTCTTCCTCATAAAAATTTTCCTAGACCAATATTTTCAAGCATTTCCCCCATATTCTTTCTAGAATTTTTATTGTTTCATGTCTTAAATTTAAATCTTTTATCTAGCAAGAATCAATTTTTGTCAATGGTGAGACGTGCAGATCCAGTTTCAGTCAGTTTCTTCCAGCACCATTTGTTAAATAGGGATTCTTTTCCCCAGTGCATGTTTTTGTTAGGCTTATCAAAGATCAAACGACCATCTGTGGCTGGGTTCATCTCTAGATTCTTCGTTCTATTCCATAGATCTACATCTCTGTTTTTGTGCCAGTACCATGCTGTTTTGATCACTATAGATTTGCAGTATAACCTGAA